TACATTAAAATACATTTGCAGAAACAGTTCCCTCTCAAAGGACTTTTAGAACAAAAGTTGGCAGTTGCTATGATTTGCCAGACTCCTCCTATTTTCTTCTGTTGAGAGACTTGTTTGTAGATTCTTTATGGTATTTTCTCACAGGGGCCTAACGTATGACAGCTTTTTCTAGGAAACATTGAGTGGCATTGCCAGCTTGGAGTTGTTTTATTTTTGAAGAATTTATTAAACATTTACTAAGTGCAAGGAGATGCCTGTAGAAATGCACTCGCCACACGGTCCACAGACACGTGCACTTGAACTCTGGTGAGACCGAACTGAGATGTGCTTTAAATATAAGTCACATCCTGGATTTGGAAGAGTTAATATGAAAAAAAGAATGTAAAATATCTCATTAGTAATATTTTTGCATCGATCACATGTTGAAATTATAATATTTTGGATTTATTGGTTTAAATATATCGTTACGATAAATTTTACTTGTTACTTTTTACTTTTTTTTGGCATGTGGCTATGAGAAAATTTAAATTATACATGTGACTCACATTTATGGCTCATATTAGCTTTCTCCTGAACAGTGCGTTTTTAGACATTAATTTGATAGGGAGACAGACACGGAAGCAAATCATTAAAAGTCAGTGGGACAAGTGCTTTAAGGGAGATACCTCAGAAGGATAGAGAGTGTGGCCAATTTGCTGGTGTGCTCAGGAAAAGATTCCAAAAGGTGGGCCACGAGATTAATTTTAAATGTACAATAAGATTTTTAAAAGAAAACTGGGAGGGGAGGCAGGCCAGGAAGAGAGAGAAGTATGCATAAGGCAGGGAAAAGACCCGTGACTCTATGAAAGCATCTACCTTTAAGGGGGACAGAGAAAAAGAGCCCAGAAAAAGCAGCAGGAAACTATAGAAAATTTTCATAGCACCCCATGATATAACTAAAATTTAATGTAACTTATTTAGAATGTTATTTATTTGCCTTTCAATCTGAATGACAAGAATTATTTTTCTTACACAAATTACTCCAATGTCATGAATGCATTATCTGAGGCACCACCAGATGGCACTGTGCCCTAGGATTGAAAAGCAGGTTGGCAAGAAAAAGTGGCAATTTCTTGGCTCAGCAGTGGCCTAAATTTTTCAAGAATACTTCCTGTCATGTTTGAGCATGTCAACTCAATATATATGTGTCTATTTATGTAAAAATTATATACCCGATGCTGCACTAATATATTATGTCAACTTAAGACATACGTATAGAAAAATTGAAATATACAAGGCTATGATCAAGATTAAACTTAAGTTCTAATGTCTTCTCTGCCCTTCAGTGGGTTATTTGTGTCTGCCTCACTCTTGAAAGAACACTGGTACATTTCATGGATTTTATCTTTATAAAGATGAAAGTAACACGCAAAAGTCTAAAACAATATATTTTTACTACGCGAGGGATTAAAATAGCATTGCAGTTGCATACCAATCCATGTACAGCACTAAAACTAAAGCCTAAAGGGAAAAAAGACAAGACTTGTTGGCTTAAGGATCTTTATATTTTTCAATTCTAAACCAGATAGGATCTAATATATTTTGTTGTTTAAAAATCACAGGCTAAAAATTTTAAAAAGTAACAATAAACAAAAAACCCCCCAAAGAATGGCCTAAATGATATAAATAGATTAGTAATGGTGCCCATGCCAAATAAATATGTAAAACTGAGTTTTAGTAAAAGCCCCCCTAAACCAAAAGCAAAGAAGAACCTTATCCTGACCTTTTTAGAGGAATACAAGTAATTGCTTTTGTCCTGATTTCTGTAAGTAGTTTTTGTTTTGTTTTTTAAAAGATGACAGACTTTTGGATTTTGCAGAGCATGTGACCACCAGGATCAGACCATCCTTGCTGGTCAGGTGATCCCTGGGGGTCCATTCAGCTGTGGTGGAGGCAGGCTGGATTACAGAGAGATAAACATAAACCCACTCCTGTGATTTGGGGGTGAGGGTCAGATTTCAGAGAATAGGATTATGAGGTAGGCAGGGACTCCAAAAGGTATCAACTAGGGAAGGATAATTCCTGGTAATTATACTTGTGCAATATTTTAAATCTTTTTTGTAAGACGTACAGTATGGTATTAAACACAGCTGCAGGAAGAGTTAGTAGCCTCCATCATCACAATAATGCTCTCCTAACCAGTTTATTCATCAGTCTTAACTCACTGAGCTTCCAACAGAAAACAGACCGGTTAATGAAGATTATACTTCTGGGAGAGGTTGAAGCAGCAATCAGGTCATGTATTAAATCTAAGTTTGGTATGGGCTTTAGCACAAGTGATGCCATTTTGGGCCTCTGGTTTTCTCTTTAACATGGTTTATCAAACAAAGCAAGGAGCAAACTTTAGGGGTGGTAGGCAAGTAAGCTGACAAGAAACAATACTTTCTTGTTCAAATCCTTGTATTAATTGTCTATTAATTGAAGCACAATTTTGTAATTACCTTTGGAATGCATTTATTTATTTATTTAAATTTTAATTTTTTGGTTTGCATTGGTCCTTGCAAGGAGCTGGGGAGTTGAATTTACAGCTCTAGAGGAGCCTTATCGAGTGAGTTATCCCCAGGGAGTTGGGGGTTGGCTATCCCAATTGTACTGTATCTGGAGGAAGTCAACAGCTTCATGGCTTTGGGGGTTGCAGTCTGTTACAATGAGTGAATGAAGGACCGTGTAGATAATTTTTATTTATTTAAAATTCACAACAAGAGGAAATAACATAAAAGGAACTTGATGAGTTAATTTTTGCCCCTCAGGAAGCACTGTCTCAGAACCTGGGGTGACTCAACTTCCCAGGGCACTCCATTCCGGAAAGTGAATTATGCAATAAGAGTAAGTTACACATGTAACAGAGAGAGATGACCCCCTTGGTGCTGTATTTAAGCCAATGTTTTACCACCTTTTCTGTCTGTCATTCCTCAGATATGTCAGATGAGGTCAACACAAAGAGCTACACTTTTCTGATGAGGACATGGTTGCCATGTTAGCTTCTCTTGCCCTTGACTGTGCTATTTTGAAGATCAAATTCTTAAATTTCCCAGACTTTTTTTTTTTTAAATATATTTTATTGATTTTTTACAGAGAGGAGGGAGAGGGATAGAGAGTTAGAAACATCGATGAGAGAGAAACATCGATCAGCTGCCTCCTGCACAATGGGGCAGTATCCTATCTAGCAAATAGAAGGGACCTCCATTGAATTGTGGAAAGTGGAGCTGGGGATGAGGGCAGGAAATTATTAGCAAAGAATGCAGGGCAAATTTCCAAGACTTTGAATTCAAGAAAAAACTCAATTGCAGTTTAGCTTTGTTAAAAAAAAATCCACAAAATTCATCCAAGTAAAATTTTCAGATTTAATTGGCTTTATTGAAAGATTCATGAATGGGGCAGTATCCTATCTAGCAAATAGAAGGGAGCTCCATTGAATTGTGGAAAGTGGGGCTGGGGATGGGGGCAGGAAATTATTAGCAAAGAATGCATTATTTCAGGCAAGGTCACCCTTTTAAGGGGGAATGGAAGAGGTCTCTCAGGGCTTTACCTAGCCTAGTGCTGACCAGGAAGTTCTATGTTGGTGGGTTAGAGGTTACATTTCTGGGGAAGCTTGAAACTGTAATGAGATTAGGTATTAAGTCTTGGTTTACTGATGTGGGGCCTTAACACAAGTGACTTCAATATGGGCCCGTTGTCTCTCTCCTTTTTTAAAGAACAGCCTAAAGGGTGTACAATGCCATGGCAGGACTTCTTATGAGAAATATAAACATAACACCATGTGTGTGACATTAATATTTTCATGGCTTTGTGGGCAGGCTACATGTGGGATATATACTGATCCCTGTGATTCTACTAGACCAAACTCCATCAGCTTTGCTTTTAGTTATGATTGATTGATATTGATGCATTTCCATTGTCTTACTGGGCTCCTTTGGGATAAAAGTTCCAGAATTTTAATATTAGCCTATGACACATGCACATTTAGGATGGAACTGAGATTTTAAGATCAAGCGCCTTACTAGGCAACATAAAATTTTCAACATGACAGTACTTAACAGCATACTCTCTAAATATTCCCTATTGTACTTCTGTGTTCTGCAGACTTTTTTTTTGGGGGGGGGGGTAAGGCACTGATATTAATGAACAATTTTATTTATATATCATGTACATCTATGTTATTTAAATGCATCATGGTATTATTTTATCATGAAATCAAAATACATACAAAATATAACTTCTGAAAGGATGAGGTAAAAAACAAAACAAATATAAATCAAAGCTCTGGTCATTTCTTCTTGCCTGTACTGGGATTTGTGTTCTCTGCTTGGACTATGCTGAGGTGTACAAACTCAGCATTGGATGCACCTTTCCCATAGCTCGGCAAATAAAAACAAGAACCATGTCATCATTCTGGAAGGAACTTCTCAGAGTCTGCTTGTCCAACTTCTTGTTTTTCAGGCACAAGTATGAGATTACTTCTAAGGTGAAAATTAATTAGTTCTCAAAGTTCTACATTTTGAAGGGACTTGCTCAGTCATGTGTGGGAGTAGAGTTCTCCCTAATAAGTGGGAAAACACATATGCGGTGACATCACTCTGTGATTCATGCCCCACTGTGTGGCCCTCTGTCTCCATAGAACCAAATGTTTGCTGAGAGCTGGTGATGCCCAGGACCTGGGGAAATTGTGTCTGTGTCCAGGATCCCTGTTCTGTAGCCTGAGTCACAGGCACACAAACCAGGGGATGGTTAGGCAGACACCTAAGGCCAGGACGGAACCTGTTCATAGACACAGCTTCATTTGGTCCCTCTCTGGCAGCTCCCATAGCTACTCCCAATCCACAATCAGACGGAATGGAAAGGTACATTTATTTGTCCCATAATAATTGAAACTAACCTGAGCACAGCTTGTTCAAATGAGGAACAGATAGGGCATTTATTTAAAGCAGCTTTGAGAGCCAGAGAGGAAACTTGTGTGCCTCCTATTTCCATTTGCTACTGATGTGTCTAGGCCTTGTTACCATGGCTTCTGAGAGCTTCCACTCAGACACCAGGCGGGAATGGGTCCCCGTGGGGATGCTTTCTCTGCGTGCAGATGGCTCTTGTTCAGCATCTTTCTCTTTCCCAAGGCTGTTTACTCCTCGCTTAAGAATTTTTTTTAAAATTTCACATCTTTTTTTAGTAGAGCTCAGAAAGTTTTACAGTTTTCTCAGACATCACTTCATTTGAACTTCATAACCCTCCAAGGTGGATAGAACAGGGCGTGGGTGTCTTCCTTTTATGGATAAAGAAACAGAGCCTTAGAGAGGTTCAATGGCTTCCGTAAGCTGCAGAGCTGGGAGAACACTGGTCCTCTGATTATTCCCACAGAGTCAGAAAAATTATAGCACAGGAAGTACATTTTCTTATAGCATTAGGCATATTCAGATTAATTCTAGTTTATATTTTATGTCAGCTGAATATGTTGCAGTTCATCTATTGCTGTCCTGGAGTTCATTTAGGTGGGGTCACCTGGTCCTAATATAGATGCCTCCGCTGCATTTGTAGCCATCCTCCCAGCAGAACTCATTAGCCTGGTGCCAGGAAATTGATGATAAAAACAGGACGTGTGCAGTGCCATCTTAAGAAGCCCCCTTTTACATAAAACTATTGGAAATGTGTCCTTCACTACAGAGGACGGTTAGCTGCCCTGCAGAGGGACTGTAAGACTGCATGCCCTCTGGCCACTGGCTGTCACAAAGATAAAATTGACAGCTTAAGAGACCAGCCAGCTAAGTGAGATATTTAAGCCAACAAACAGCTTAAACACTCTTAGGTCATTTTGCTGTACTTTATGGGGCAGTTTTGTTGGGGGAAAGTGAATGATTTCCCTCTTGCTTCCTAAATCAAGATGCCTCGGACTCTGTCTGCTTTGGTGTTTGTTTCTTTGTGCCTGGATCTGCCTCTTTTTTCTACATCTACTTCCAGCTCCCTGTCTTCATCTCTCTCCTCCTATAGTTCCCTTTTTTGTTTTTCTCTCATTTTCTTTTATATTATCTGTCACCTTAATTTACACATAATTATCACTAACAGATTAAAAATCATATTAATGATGAGGACAACTTAGAACAATTTTATTTAAGAATTTTTAATCATTCTCTGTGTGAGAGACTGAAATTTATGTGTTGACATGCTATATCCTTAACCCGAGACCCCAAACGTATAACCAAAATATACTTCTGTCTTGCTCACAGTACCGCTCCTGCATAAATGCCCTGATATACTTAGTTACAAATAACTCTGCAATTCCAATCACACGTATTTACATAGATCATAACAGAATCTTGCAAAATATACTTTCTTTCCCAGGAGTGTCTGCATAGGAGGAGGAGGCCAGCAGGTGTCAGCCTCACTCAGTAGGAGAACTGAGAATGGCTCCCTTGCAGTATTTCTTTAAGACAGTTTACTTTTTTTTTGAATGAACTTTTGAAGAACCAAAGTTAAATTCTTGTTTGTTTTAAGCAAACTCTGGGTTGGTTTAAAGAGAAAGTAGATCATCTCAATCCTGTTTCACCACACCCCCAAAGTGCTATACTTTTAACAAGAGATTGGTCTCTTGTTAAAAAACACAGCTAGTGGATTGAGGTCTAATCTCATTATTGTTTGGGCATGCCTATCAGTAAACAGGTGATTTAAATTTCATTGTTACTTGCAGGGTGATTGATTCATGATAGAAAACAGAGCTCCATGGAGTGTGCCTTGGCATATGTACAGCAGTATCCCAGCCCCTGGGATTTGGAGGTAGTCGTCAATGCACCAACCACACACCCTCACAGCCCACTTGCAGATGAGAAAGCAGAAGTCTAGAAAATATTAGTTCCAAGACTCACAGCTGTGGGGAGGAGGATCTGAGTTAGAACTAAAGTCAGGAGCTGGTCTTCAATGGGCCTGTATGATAAATTGTTATTTGAGTCTAAAACGAGGGGCCATGTTGTTGACCTTGGGGATTGTCTGGCATCCATGCTCTGTTCCCCTGGTGTCACCACGTTCAGATTGAGAGGGCAGAAGCCACACGAGGCTGGAGTGGGCTGTCAAAACCTGTGCCGGTTCACAAGTGATTATCTTCAGTGTAATCCCCATAGCAACGTAGCCGCGTGAGGCCCAAGGCGGGATGATAAAGATGCTTATGCTGGAGAAGGAAAGAAAATCCTAGGGACAGCTTGATGGAGGAGGGGTTGTTTTGCAGTCAGCTCACAGCATTGCTTCTCCTTAGGCAGCCGCCACAGCCCGTGTGAGAGGGGCCTGTGGGGCCTGTTGTTTACATAATCAACCGAAAGCACTTATCCTTGTCTAGCTGACTAGCGAGCCAGAAGTCACTTTTTCTAGCTCCTGAAGGTATTTAAAGATGAAGGACGCTCTGCCAGCCAATCCCTGCCTTTGCTGGGGGGTTCAGGAAACCGGAGCAAGCAGCAGAGGCCAAGGAACAGATGCTCAAGGTGTTTTTTCCGGAGGCGCATACTTGCCAACCTTGGCGGAGGAAAGCAGGCTCAACAGACATGGGGACAAGCTGAAGGCAGGCCTCCTAAGAATGGTTGTCCCTGTGTCTTTGAAAGTGGTTTATGAATGTTACGTTTTTAAAAATGTTTTTAGTTAAATGGCATGTCTCTCTAAAGCAGAGGATTCAGGTGCCTTTGATAGAGGCTACTAGGTAGTGCCCCAGTGTGGACAGTTAATAGCCCCGTGGGAGAGACACATGGAGGTGAGTTGCTTGTATCTTTAAGGAAGAGCTTGCTGGCTGGCTGTGGGGACTGCTGTTAGCGGAGAGCCCGGAGAGCCCATGGTTGTCATATCATCTGTGTCTGCCTCACCTGCAGGGCATGGCTCCCTCTGCCAAGAAGCCCACCTCCAGTGACCGAGATGGGGAGGGGGGTAAAGGCTAGCCAGCCATTTTCACCCAATGTGGCCCTACTCACCAGAGCTCCCAGCTGGGTTGGCCACGGCTTGTTGGACATCCAAGTTCCTCTTTTCCCTTTGCCCAATCCAACTTTGTCCCCTACCCTTCACAGGTATTGATCCCAAATCCATCTTAGCATCTGTTTTTGGGCAACCCAACCTGCAACAACCAACTTATCTCTTCTGTTTGGAGAACTTTATGGCCCCAAAAGGTAAATGGCTAAAAGCCTTTTGTGATCATATAACTTTTCAGTAATACTTACATAAGAAAGGAAGTATTTACAAATCTCAGAAAGGAAAAAAAATAGTTATCTAGAATTAGGCCTATAAAATAGTCAGTTGACTCTCAACATAGTCCACATCACAATTTTTACAATTCAAGGAGAGGGTTCTTGAATTGTTGATTTCTGACACCTCAAAAATCTCACAGCTGAGGTTTTCACAGCCAGTTCCTCATCGATGAATGGCCCCAAAAGTTTTCCACATGTTCCTAATTGTGCTTTGTGGCTCCATGAACCTTCCTAGGTAGTCTCAAAATACCAGCGCATTGCCTCCCTCTTGTTGGGGGTGGGGTCAAGGTTCTCTCCTTAGAGATTTCCTGCAGGGGGGCAGAAACAGGGGGAAGAAGAAGTGGGTGGAGAGGGTATCTCTAGGGCACCAGGCTCCACTCTATGGCCCTGGCGATGTTGTTTCCAGAGACTGCTGGATCTGTACTTGAGCCTTAATGACCTAATTGGGTAGTTTTGAATCGAACGGATTGGGTCAGAAAAAAGAAAACATCTGAAGGAATAAGTAATCTCACCTTGAAGGTGCTGCACAGGTAAGGGGCAGCGATAATGAGCAACTGATTCATGGCACTGGTAAATTTATTTTTGAATTGATAACATATTCGATGTAATCTAAAAAGTAATAAACATAGGCAACAAATTGGGTTACAAACATATGCAACAAATTGGATTACATGAAATCTGAAAAATTTATAATTTGAAAGGTACAGAGATTTAAAGGAACAATTCAGCCCAAGTCAGAATCAGAACAGTTTTTAATATGATACCAAAGGGTGATAGTCCGCATCACACAGGAGCTGGATTTTGTGTGTTTGTTATGACTAAGATAGCATCTTGTCCTTATCTGTATCTCAGGAAGCATTCTTATTAGAACCATCTCCTAGAAGAAAGCAAGTTATATTAAAAATATTGAAACATGGGTCAGTTTTCAGTATTGCAGAATGATGAAAAAGCAAATATATGAATCCTGAAAAATGTAGTGAGAGTAGACACTTAAAAAAAATAAAACAGATGACAAAGAAGAATTTTTGTTTCTGGAATTAAGCCGTTTTCATAATAATATATGGATATAGTTCTGTCATAAAAATCTGGTTGAGGCTTTACTCAGTAAGTTGTTAAAGCTGTTTTGCTTTCTCTAACATGGTTCTCTTAAATTTCATCTGATAAGTAAAAAGAAAAACGTCACAAACTTTTTACAAAAGGAAACTCTCCTTTTCCTCGGTGATGATTTAAAACATTCAAAACCATTGTCTCACAATGCCCTGAATGAAAGTCTCAGAACTATGGGTTTTAGATTCTGATACATTTCCAGGATGTCTGACCCCCACATGGGAGTTGAATGTTTAAACTAAGTGGTGTTGCTTTAGGGGTGTTCCAATAGGCAATGCAAACATTTCCTTCGTTGGACTTTAGGCTTTCATAGCATCTCCTAAATAAAATATGCTGGACTTAAGGTCAGTGGCTCTCACCATGTGTTGGCTGGGCTTCTTAGCTAGGTCCATATTATGACAATCAGGGAGCATTTAGTCTCAACTGGCCCATTAGAACATATACACCCCCCCTCCCAACACCATTTCTCATTTTATTTACTTTCTGACTTTTGAAAGTGTCTCAGCTGTGCACCCTCATCGTTCCTTCCTTGATTCTACCATAGTGTTGATCTCTGCTGGCTAATTTTTTTCATTCATCCTATCATTTCTGGCTTTTATTTGCCTATTCGTGTCAATGTTCCTTTTTAAAAAATTATTATTATTTTTAATATACTGAAAAGAAGTCTTACCATGCTCACTCGAAAGTGCTAGTGGCAATTTTCGAGGTCTTGACTGAACTCAATCCACATTTCAACTGCCAGTATTTTACTTAAAAGAAATGTTATTATTCAGCTTTATCCTCTCTAAAAGACAGTAGGGAAGGCAGAGAAAAGGACACAATTTTTAGCAAGTAACAAACCACAGGAAAAAGTTCTTACTGGGTCACCAGGGAATATCAGGGCAGTTAGGAGAAGTTTATCTTCTCATTGTTTTTCATTTGATTATATGTTGAGTATCATTGGCTCAGAAGTTTTCCATTCCCGTCAGAGATGTTCTCATTTTGTCATAAAACTTCAATTGAGTCTCTTAATTTGTTTCCTTTGGTCTATCACGCTAATGTCCAGAGGAGTCATAAAGAGACTGTAGGAGACCCCCGTCCTCTGTCGTTGCCTTCTCCTTCGGCAGGCCTTGGTCAGATGTTTGTGACTCTCGTCAGAGCAGTAAAATGCTGACATTAAGAAAGAGAACCCAAAGGAGCAACATTATCCGTGGGCTTCATTGTCAACAATTTGAAATGTAAAAACAAAACTGAACCCATGACTGTCATCTTCGGAAAGGTAACTACTTTGGAGAACTTGGTCCTCTGGGCTTTGGGGGAAGAGTTCCGAATGCTTCAGAGATACAGCACTTTCTCTAGACCAGTGGGGTAGCTTGTTCCATTTGCTTTGCTTTTTGCCACCTAGCAGAGTCTGACCTGTGGATTCAAATCTAGGTGGAAACTAAATCTCTCTTCCTTCTGTTCATTTTATCTACCTTTTGTCACGTCTACTGAGAGAGCAACATTTTTAATACGTAAATGTTTATTTTACCATGCACAAATTTTCTTCATTACATATAAAGTTCACTGTAGGGCATAAATATATATTTTTTAATTTGGAAAAAATTTCAAACTTACAGAAAAGTTGCTTGAATAAGAATAGCACAAAGGGCAACAGTTAACCCTTTACCCAACTTCATCTATTGTTAACATTTTATGCAATTTGTTTGATCATTTGTGCACTCTCCTTTCTCTCCATGTGTATATACACACATATATATGCATTATTATATCTGTATAATAATGTGTATGTGCACACATAATATTTTGTTCTTCCTAAAGCATTTGAGAATAAATGTCACACATCACGACCCCTTAAATAGGTTAGTGCTTTTTACAGTTGAGGGTATTCTCTTACATAACCACAGGGCAGTTCTCAACTTTGATAATAAAACATTAATACTCTTATCTGATTTGTATGTGAATTTCCCTACTGCACCATTGATGTTCAGGATGAAGAGTAGGGAGGGACAGGTATTGCAGGTAGTTGTTTTGTGTCTTTGAACTCTGAAGGTTTCCAAAGCCTTTCTTTGTCCTTTGTGACATTTTTGAAGATGGAGTCCCCCACTTTTTTAAAAACAGGAGTTTCCTCGTTGTGATTTTGTCTGATGTTTCCTCATGATTAGACTCAGGCCATGCGTTCCTGAGGGGAATACTGTACACATGACACTGTCTGCTTCTCAGACAGTCACGCCTGGAGGCACAGGATCCATCTGCCTCTCCTCAGTGATGTCAACTTCCATTCGACATTCTCAATGTCTCCACTTCTGTGTCTCCATGTGTAGTTACTATTTTCTCCCTTCCCACTAATAAGCAGTTTTTGGAGAGATACTTTGGAACCATGGAAGTATCCTGCTCCTCATTAAAATTTCCCCTTAGGTTTTGCCCGAATTGACCTTTGTTATGATGGCTACACAATAATGATGGTCCATCCAGCACTCCCTTCTGTTTACTGGTCCAAGAACCCTCCCTTCTCCCTCACACATGTGGTTCTGCATTATCTGTATGGACTTGTGGCTACCTGTTTCCCTCCCCACCACTCCTGACCCCAAATGGTCTATAAGTATTATCCTCAGTTAGTAGTTTAGAGCTCAGGTTGCCCCAGATTGGCCAATGAGGGTCCCTTCAAGCTGGCTCCATGGACCGGTGTCTCACTGCCATTGCTCTTTTGAGCACATGCTTATCTTCTGGAAAAACAAAATGTTCCAGGCTCATCCTGAAGTTCCTCTTCCCCAGTCCTGCTTTCAGTGACTTCTGCAGGACTCCTGGCTCCTTTAGTGGGCAATGGTGTCACAGATCAAGGTGTGTGCACTAGCTGGCTCATCGCTCCTGGAATGTCTCTGCTTCTAGACCTTTTAGTGGACAGAGCCAGGAGATATGTACATGCATGTGATACACACATATAAGCACACTTGTACATACAGAAACACACATGATATATATATATATATATATGTGGGTAAATAAATATATAAATATATATTTGGATAGCCTGAGTCTACACCAATATCTCCAATTTCAATTTATCTTTCTGGTCTTTCCTGTTTAATATTTATATATATATATATATATATATATATTTAAAAAAAAATTTAATTCTCACCTGTGGATATTTTCCCACTGATTTTTAGAGAGAGTGGAAGAGAGGGAAAGACAGAGAGAAATATTGATGTGAGAGAAACACATTGATGGTTGCCTCCTGCATGCTCCCCGACCAGGGCCCGGGCCTCCTGCAACCGAGGTATTTGCCCTTGATTGGAATCGAACTCAGGACCCTTTGGTCTGCAGGCCAATGCTCTATCCACTGAGCCAAACTGGCTAGGGCTTTCCTGTTTCATATTTACATGCTTCTTCTTTCATAGCAATAATCCTAGCTTCCTAAAACACCAAGACATTTACTCATTTGCCCGATTCCATAATACATCTGAAAAAGTGTCAGAACACCTTCACTCATGTCTACTACAATAAACAGAACTAATGAAGAGTTCAGGATCTCTAGTTTCCAATTTTCCCATCTCCCCACCCTGCCCAAGGCAGAGTGCATGCAGGGCATATAGTCAAAACTGTGTTTGTAAGTTACTCAAATTTGTGTTTTTTTCCCCTCTCCCTACATTGTGGTTATGGTATTCATATGAAATACAGTTGGGTTCATTTGTTCCAGTTTCTTACTGTTTTTGTTTTTCTTTTATTGATTTCCTTTTTTGAAGGTAAAACATTATCGTGCTTCCAATAGTCAAAACTTACAAACAGGTATAATCAGGGAAATGCCCTTCTCTCAAATGTCCCTTGCACCCTCTTCTTCATTCCCTATAGCCATGATTTTCAACTGGCATGCCACAAGAATTTTTAAAACATGCAGTACCTGACTGTTTAGTCAGGAGCACTGACCTCCTTTTCCTTATGGTCAAATAAAAAAAAAAAAAAAAACAACAGCCAAAACAATAGCCATCCGGTGTGAAGGAATAAAAATTATACCTATTTTTTTTGTCAGATGGCAAAAAATATAATATAGTTTTTGGTGTGCCACAGAATTTTAATAATTAGTTTATGTGTGCCAGGAGATGAAAAAGATTGAAAATCACTGCCCTTTACGTAACCAACTTAATTGTTTCTGTTTTTTTCTTTCCTGTGACTTGTTTTTGGAAAGATAAGCAGATATATGTACATTTTCTTCCTCTTCTTTGTTAAGCAAAGTTAATGGTACGAGATATAATCTTTTATCCTTTGATTCTTTACTTTATAAGATCTCTTAGACATTATCTATCACCCCACATCAATTCAGAGAGCTTCTTCATTCTTTTGTTCAATGGGAGAGTATTCATTATTAGGGTTTATTCAGCAATCTCCTAGGCTCGGATGTTTAGGCAGTTTCCAGTATTTGGAAATTACACATAATGCTGCGATGAATAAACTGATGCATGTATTTGTTATATTGTTGGAGGGATATCTTCAGGATCAATTGCATATGCAATTTTGTTAGATAT